GGTTCAACCACGCGGCACCTAGATTTAATGAATCCCGCGCGGGATTTTTTGAAAAACCGCGATTTGCCCATCTCTAATTATGACCTGTCATAGGCCAACATTAATTCATATTACCACAGTCTTTAGTTCTCATAAATCAAGAGTGAGTACTAGAACTTAAGATGTTCATCTTAATTTCTTAAGTACCATATTGGAAATGTGAAGTACAACCGGGTTAATAATTTCTGAACATTTAAATAGTGAATATATTTCACAAGTTGTTCACATCATTGTAGAGTTTTAAATCAGCCAATAAGTCGAAATGATTCATAATTAGATAAATAGCATTTATTTTTTTTTATTCGTACGCTGCTTGGTGACATAAACTGATTTTAAACTTCTCTAGTTGTTCGTTAACAAATAAAATTTCGGTTGAAATTGATGTAATCATGTTAGGGTGCACGTGTTTATGGCGTATTTAATATTCTTTAAAGCGGGTTTTTATTAAGATTAGAGGTTAGGATGGTATGGAGTAAAACTGCTCAAGGAAACCATTTTTGTTAGTTTACAAATAATAAGCTTTAATATATATAATTTTTCGAGAAATAAGCAAAGCAACCATTTGTTTTCCTGTTCGTGTTACGTTATGCCTGGTCTTGAAATCTATTCGTAGTTCAGGTAATCGGCGGGGCACATTCGTTAGTGTCGTTAGGTGAAATAAAAATAATACTTGAGTAGGTAAAGAATAGGGTTAATTATCGTCTTTTTGCTAGGCCTCCTGTCTTACTCTTCTGCTATAAAGTGCTTTGAGCGAATACTAGTTTGTCTCATGGTAATTAAAATTTCGATATTTTTTCTGAAAAATACTTTCATTTGTGGTGATTTAATTATATAAAAATACATTAATAAAGATATTTTTACGCGGATTGGGACTTGTGGATATTGGCATCTCTTTTATTTTGGAAAAAATAAATATATATTCAACCTCTCAACCTCATGAATTACATTATACTTTCATTAAAATTCCGCCTGCTAATTATAATTCGGGGATCTAATTTAGGCAGAAATAGATGACGTAGTTATTTTAAATGAGCGAAGTATCAACTTTATTTTATTTTCTGATAAATTTGAAATGATGGTTTTGTCGTTGAAAAGTCTATTTATTTCATTAAATGGGGATCTCCAAATACTCACATTTTATTTTCGATTTTAAAATTTGAAATATAAATAGGAATTTTCAAACTCTCATAAACCCACTAATATGACTGTTCAAAAGGAGGCAAATTTTGTCGAAATGAATTAAAAAAAAATAAATACCAAACAATTTCTTAAGTAGTTAAAATAAAAGAACTAGCATTGTCACGCTTGAAACCTTATTTGAGTATAAGGATGATTATGATTCGTTTAAAGTAAATCAAGCCATTTTACATTGTAAAATTTATTAGATAAATTCACTTCTATATATTTACAAAGTCTGAATTCATATGAATAGTTTAATTTGATATAGTAATCTTAATACATACTGATTGACCAAAAAAACCAAAACGAACAAGTATATAAAAGGCAATACCCTTATATAGTATGCTTTATATAATTTACAGGAAAATCTTACCTTAAAACAACTACTTGGTGGAATTCTTCTCCGGTTATCAATCAAGATCTGTGTTGGCTTTATTCTAATACAAAAACGAACATAATCAAAGGTTATTAGTCAGTCTGCTAAAAAAATGATTCTAAAATGCTTTGTTAATTGTGAACAAATTTAGCGTTAAAAAGAAAATAATACTTATGTAAGCTAAAGTTTGCCTGATTGAGATCAGATTTGTGATTAGTATCGTATAATTATTGAGAAAATAGTTTCCGGAAAAATGATATTCCTTTACATTAGGAATAAAATCAGCGAATCTTATTTTATTTTTACGATTTATAATTCAACATAGTAAAAATGTTATTACTTATTTCAAAATGCATCACCCTTATTATATTTGAACTTTAATCACTTTATTTACACAAATAAACAAAGACAAAGAAATAGTAAAATCAATATTCAAGGAAGGATTATGCTCTCATTCTCAAAGAACTGGCTAAGGTTCGTAAAAAAGTAATATTGATAGACTAGTTAATAATTTAAAGTATTCTTAAACACAACCTAAACAAAAAGAAAACATCGGCTCCAATGACACGTGAAAGTTACAGTAGCTAAGTTCTGTTAGTTATCGAAATAATGAATCAATAAAAAGACAAGATCAACGTAAACAACAAATTTCACGTATCGGTATCACACGGGAATCAGAAATCTAAAATAAATGCAAATACATGACTTTTGATGCTGTAATCACTTTAGTAATTTACACTAGATAGATATCAATTTTTGCAATACATAATTAGCTAAAAATTAAATGAAAATATTGTAAGCCATATAACGAATTAATGCAATTATAGTTGCACATGCCTTTGTTCAAAATGTTGAAAATCCTTCAAAATGGACAGATATAATTTATGTTAATGTACATTATCAATTATATGATAAAGTATTTACGATAAAATCTTACCTCAAACCGTTTAATTTACTTAATTTGGTGGAATTTATTCTCCGTTTATTACGTATTAAAAAGGTTTGTTCAAATATGGACAGATATAATTTGTGTGTTAATGTGCTTTATCAGTTATATGAAAAAGTATTTACGAGAAAATCTTACCTCAAAACACTCAATTTACTTAATTTGGTGGAATTTATTCTCCGTTTATTATTAAAAAAAAAGTTTGTATTAGTTTAGATCCAGAATAATAAATCAATAAAACTTAATTTGCTTAATTTGGCGAAATTTGACGAAATTTACTATCCATTTATTAGGAATATCAATGCTAATAATCTTTGTTAAAAATGATTCTAAAGAACTTATTAAAAATGATTTCTAATGAGCTTTACAACATTTAATACTAAAACAATTTAGCGTTTTAAAAAAAATAATGATTGCATAAACTAAGGTTAGATTGATATAAATTATTTCTGGATAAATAATATTCCTTTAACTATATAATTGCTCTGTTTTCGAACATTTACATTTTATAATTTTAATCACTTTTTTATTTTATAATTTTAATCACTTTTTTTTTTTTTTACACGTAGAATAATAATGTCAAGATTTAAAAAAACAAGTAAAGACAAAGAAATAGTAAAGAAAGCAAATATTCAAGGAAAGGTTAAGGAAATTGGTTATTTTGATGCAAATAATCAACAATTTGCCCTTATTATTAATAAAGTTGCTGGTTTATATGCTATCAGACTAATTAAATATGAAATCGATAATACATCTGAAAAAGTTATAATAAATGTAAGAGCGGTCAAAAGATTCCCTAATTTGATGGAGTTTTATCCGAACAAAGAGGAAGCTTATACAAATTTCAAAGAAATTCAGGTGAAGCCGGAATTAATAAGTCAATGTATTAATGAGATTGAAACGCATGACGATGAAACAGAAAATAATATATTACTCATAGGTGTAACTGGTAGTGGTAAATCTACTCTAGCCAATGTAATTAGTAACACTGATGAATTTAATGAATCTGATAAGTGGATTGGCGGAACACAACAATTTAAAACCATGGACTTTGAATGGAATGGTACTAAGTATCGGGTGGTTGACACTGTTGGAACGGGTGATACAAACTTATCAAAAGATGAGGTCTTATATAAAATGGGAGAGGCTATTCATTCTATGAAAAAAGGGATAAGGCGCATATTTGTTTTAATAGGATCAAGACTTAATAATGATACAGTGGAGCCTTTTAACTATATCCAAAAAATTTTCAAGAACGTTGATCAACATATTACTATTATTAGAACTGGGTTTAAAGACTTTCAAGACAAAAAAGCATGTGAACAAGATAAAAGTGACATAGAAAAAACGAATAATAAAATGGCTACCATTTTAAAGAGATATAATATCATCTATGTTAACAATCCGCCAAATAATAAACAAGATCGAGAGAATTCTCGAAAAATAATAATGTCGCATTTAGAATCTTGCGGAGAAAATTACAAAATGGATAATTGGGATAATGTATGTGTTAGGATCAATGATTTAATGATTGCTAAAAAATGGGGAGAGGAGAATAATAATAAAAATACTGCAAAGAAATTGAGAAAAGAAATTATTAGCATAGTTAACGAACAAATAGGTGAACAAATAAGTCAATCATTAAACGAGATGATTCAGAAAGAACGAGAGGCGGTAGGAGAAGTTAGAGTCAATGTACAAGGTACCTTTTTCGGGGATGCGGAAGTAGAAATGAAATTAAAAAATTTAAAAAACTGTTGTTCGATCCTATAAAAAATTCCTTGTTTGCGAACTAGTTATCCAATTCCTTATAATATATAAAAATCTTATTTGAACGACTAATGTATTGGATATTTATTGTTCTGTGAAGCTTGATATAATTTTATTTTATCTTATTATTATTTTCTTATTATTTCTTTTATTTTATTATTATACTTTTTTTTATAATTATGAGTACGTTACTTCGGTGCATTTAGAAGTAAACAAATTATTTGTACTTTTTGATAACATTAGTTACTCAATAAAATGCATGTATTTAGTATATTTACATTTGTTGGGGTTATAGGCAAATTATATTTTTGAATGCATAACCCATCGTCAAACCTCTCTAAGTGCAACTCGTAGTGACCGGGATCTATTTAGAGAACAAATAAGAAAAATCGCATTTATAGAGGTCAAGTATATATTTAGTCCAGATATGAAGTTGCACTTAGATTGCATTTTAGGAGGTTTCACTGTACTACCTTAATTCGCCAATAAACATTTTGAGTTTTAAAAATATGAAATTATACTCTGAAATTAATATTCCGAAACTAAAAATTACATAAATGATTAAATACATTTTACAGCTCTTATTAATTTCGAATTATAATTTTTATTTGATTACTGTAAATAAGTTGACAGCAATATTTATTTAGTTAAATTGTTACATATATTGCAATAGGTTTGCTTGCTGAAACGATAGTCTATAGTTATTTCGGGCAGTTTTCTGGTTCGTTTTCAGAATATTTCCAAATGCTTTCAATGCGCTTTATTGAATTATCTTCATCTTTTAAAATTTGTTTTACACGAGATGTATACTTTTTGCAGTTAAAGTTAGCTGATGAAATTTCTATTTCGACTTCTCCTTCCTCACTATACTCCTTAACCGACGTTATTACATTTTCATCACAGTTATCTCTATTTATAATTTGAATCTCATACCGACCTTTGTTTGGTGCATTGTATGTTACAATAATACTATTACTTTTAATTTCGTGCTTAACATTTCTAGGTGCAGCATACTTTACAAGATAAGAATTAGGATCAGTTGAATCTGAAGTTTTAATCTTGCTGTCTAATATCAAATCATGTCCTATTGCCTTTGCAGAAGCATAAATTTGAATTTCACTACCATCTGGTGAATTAATCAAGTCACTAGAAAATTTTTCAATAATTTTTAATGATCCATTGTATTCAATTGTTTTATCTTCTGAATTTTCTTTACTATTTTTGTTTTCAATATGAAACCAATAAGATTTTATGTAATGATTTTCTGGTTCAGCAGTACAAGATACATAAATAGATCCTTGTTTATATGAAATTTCTAAGTCTCTTGGTTTTGGTAAAAGTCTTAACACATCAGTTGATATTGCTGGAAAACTATTTATCACTTCTTCTACTTTTGATGAAATAGAATATACCCGTACTTGACAAGTATCATTTTCTTCAAATTTTAGGTTAATTTCATTGGCCTCAAATATACAAGAATTTGAATTTGAATGAACCATTTTAACTAGTTTCTTGTTTGATTTAGTATTATATAATCCAACAATATATTCTCTTAAATTGCTTAATTGATTATCAATGGGAACAAAAGTAATGCGAATATTTTCACGATTATTAATAACTTCAATATTAATATCAGTAGGTTTTGGAAGTTGTGTAAACTTTTTGTCTGCAAATGTTTCTTGTCCATGTAAGGTTTTTATAGAATTACCGTTCATTGCTTGAATCGAAAATGAATAGGTCAATGCTGTTGAATCCACCGACGTTGGTTTAATTTCTTCAAATTTATCAATTTCATTATCATTAATATTTAAGGTATTTGCCTGTTCATAAAAAGTTTTTATTCGATTTCCACAAATATATACTGCGGCTTGATAACTATTTGCATTTGTGACATTTTTCCATGAAAGTTTTATGCTATTATTACTATATTTTGCTTTTATATCAGCAACATTTGAAAGAAATTTGAAAGAGTTTTCAGTATTTTTATAATTCGAATTTATAATATTTTCAGATAATATTCTCATGCGTATAAAAAGCTCTTTAGTATTAATAGTAGATTTGTTAATTTTAATTTTTCTAATCTCATTTAATTCTAATTTGAATTTATTTTCTGGGAATTGTGCACTATAAATAATATCTTCGCCATTTATCACTTGACAAAAATATCCAGAAACTTTTTTCATATCATTTTCATCATCTACTAATATTTGTAAATAATCAGTATTCGGTTGATAATCAAGAGAAATTACTTTAGGAGGTAATAGTTGTGATACTATTTCTTCAGCATGTACAAACTTGCTATCCTTCCAACCTTCTGCTTTTGCTTTTACACATACGGTGTATTCACCACCTGGGGCACCAATCAGTTCTTTATCAGTATCAATTACCCATGATGTGTTCACATCAATTATTGTATAATAAACCCATTTATGATCTCTATCGGCCAATTCACATAAATATCGTTCAATATCAGGATCTAAAGATTTAATGTCAATTGTAAGGCATTTACTATATGGATCATATTTTGACATTAATGTAGTTGGAGGTAGCAGCGTTCGACTATGACTTATTTTTACTTTTGCTGATTGCAATCCTGTAAATTTTTTAATCGCATCATTCTCTACTAAAAGTATTGCCGTAATTGCGACAGTAGCATCAAAACATTTCATCAATTTATCATCCACCAATATAAATAATGGACCTTTGATATTAGATTCGTTATGGTTCACTTCATCTCCAAATTTTTCAGCATTCCCTGTAATTTGCAAATCAAATATAATATTTATAGCTAATTTATCATCTTTTGCTTTTGATGGCATCTTCCAATTAATCTTTAGAGTATTTTCTGAACTAAATTCTAATTCAATGGTTGAACTATCTATAAATAAAAATTTCCTTATAACATTATTTATTCTTCCTTGAATTTTTTCTTTTGTCTTTTTGACTTTTTTTAATTCTGATTCATCATCATCAAGGATTTTTTTTACACCACCAAATGTCAAAAAAAGAATAGCCCATTCAAAAAATGCAAACCATTCTCCAATTAGTAAAAGCGGAGAATTAATTTTAGCTATCGCTTCACTTAATGTTTTTGCTCTTTCAATTTCTTCTATTTCACTTTCCGAAGGTTCACGTTTAGGTCTCTCTTTATCTACAACTTCTTTAATTCGTTCTTTTATTTTGCTTCTCGAGTCCTTTAGTTTATCACCAGCTATACATCCAAATCCTTTTATTGCAGATTCTCCTAAATTCTTCAATGTAGAAATTGCTAAGGCATCTACAAACATTGCAAATTTTTCTGGATCACGTAATAAACTTTTTAAAAATTCTGCAGTGTTATCTTTCAAACATTTCAATAAATATCCAGCAATATCGTTAAAATAATCTTCCGTCGGATAATCGATGTTTAAATGGATAGTTGTCACAATATTTGCAATTTCTGTAGATTTTGTTGAAGCTTTTATATTTATAGAATAAGTACAAACAATATCAAATGAAACAGTATTATTTTGAGTTTTAAAGTTACTCATTGATATTTTGAAATCTCCCGTAAAAGTTTCTTCAAGTACAAGATCCAAAATTTGGCATTTGGGGTTGATATTCGATGCCTTTTCAATAAATTTGGCAAATTTATTACTTTCCCAATCTAACTTATAATACCATTCCGTGATGACAAACTTATCTTTTTTGGACCAATATCCTTTTATTTTTGGTCCCTTATTTCCAAATATTTCAGAAATTTCTCCACTTAATCGTTTTGTTGATTGGTCGTATTCAAATACAAATTTTGCAAAATATTTGTCAAACAATTTTATCGAACCTTCCATGCTAATACTATTGTGATTAACATTTGAATGTATTAATAATTTGTAATTATATAATTTGACAAATCCTAAATTTATTTCAGCATTGATTTTGTCATCGGTTACTTCAATTGTCATTCCATCAGTAATTTTAACAGTTACAAAAAGTTTTTCGATTCCAAAAAAATCTATATGCGCATTTGCATTGAAGCCTTTAGTATAAATTTTTTCATCAATCTTTATTTCATCTTGAGCATAATATAATTCTCCATTATTAAAAACAATGTCCGGAAAATTGTTTGACCATTTATGGTTCCCTTTGATAAATATAGTTTTTAATAATGCATTAATCCCGGTCTCTTGATCAATAGTTACTTGGCAAACACGAGGCGTGCTATTTACAAATAAAATGCCTCCAGACAAAATAATTTCGGAATTTTTGTAAGAAAATTTAACCTTGCCACTTAATTCATATGTGCTTTCCTGTATCTTTCTACTAATTTCCCCATTAAACTTGTCGGTATTTTGACTATCTTCATACTTGAATTTCATGATAAATTTTAGTTCTCTAAAAATTATCCCTTTCATTTTTTCAAATGGACTTGTAATTTGTTTTGATATTGATTTCACCTCAAATGATGATATTTTTTCACTTATTTTCAAAGTTCCTTCGACCCAAAATTCTGTATCAAGTAACTTTTCAAAATTCAACTTTCCAAAAATGTTTAATTCACGATTTGAAACACCTGGCTTATAGGAAAATTCTACCTTTTCAAAATGTATTCCGCCAATCAATTTAAAATCATTAATTCCAGCTTTAAATTCACAATTAGATAATTTATCAAGGCCCATATACAACGCCACAGTAATCTTCATTGAATTGTGACTAGGATCAACCGTGGCATGAAGATTTTCTAATATTAAGTAATCCTTATTGTAATCAAATTCTACATATAGACTTAGTCCGGGTCCTAATTTTCGTTTATAAATATCGTCTCGACCTGTTGGTATTATAACCGATATGATATCATCAATTTTTTTATCCGGCTTGATTAGTTCAGTGATTTTTTTAATCATTTCGTCTGATTCTTTTTTAACTTGATCAATTGTTTCACCTTGATATGATACAAGCACGAGGTTACTTTGAGTTAAAGGCACAACTTTATCTATATCAGACACCATTTCCGAATCAAATAAATTTTCAAATTTCAAATTTGGAAGAGTTTTTAATGCAAATAAATAATTCCATTTACTGTCACTATCCAAAGATTGCTTGAAAACAAATCTTCTCATAGTAGACTTCTTTGTATTTGGCTTGATTAAAAGTAATGCGCTTCCGATTGATTCAATTTTCCCATATAATGCAATGGATGTGGCTATATCATTTTTATCACTGCATATGTAAAGGTATGTTTCAGTCTCATTTGATGATGATTTTATTATAAATTGAGGTAATTCCATTTCCTTTGGTTTTCGATCTGACCACTCGTCATTCTTTAGCAACGTATTAACAAAGGTTCCAATATCTACCGAATATTTATCTTTAATAACATTTTCACCATTAGTAATATACACTCTCACAATAAAAGTATTTTCACTAGATGTTTTTGATCCAGCAATTACTAAATTAAGTTTTGTACCATTATTTAAAGCAAATGTGCCATATATTTTTCCTTCGACTTTATCTTTCGTTCCTTCATAGTTAATAGATACCCCAACAGGTTTTAAAACCAATAAAGGATCTTTTAATAATATATATTCTTTGGCTTCCGTCGAAATGCTAAATTTGACAATTTGAAACGGATTTGTTGAGATTGTTATGGAATTTTTTTCTGCTATTTGTAAATCATCGAATTTTGGTAAATTTGGTAAATTTGGCAATATTTTTGATAAATCACATTGAATTCCTGTAAATTGTAAAACTTCAGAAAGTTTAAGTTTTTTGGGCGATGAGAATGAACCTTCAATAATTTTCTTTGTATTTTTGGTAATATAATTTAGTGTTATCTCGGCGCAAATATTGTCATTATCTTTAAGAGAAATAATAGCCTCTAATGTAAATATGGAATAAGGTTGTTTTGATTTTGTATCATTCTTCATTTTATTGTATTTGAATGATAATTTATCAATAGTTACTTTTTCATGTATTAATATTCCTTCCAATTCAATTGAAAAAGTTTCAATACTTTTATTGTCAATATTGAATACCAAGTTTGCTGAATTAATATTTAATTCAGATATTGCATCATCAGGAATCGTTTCTTTTGTTAGCAGTTTAACAGTTTCTTTGAGTGATTTATTCTGAAAGGGAGTTAATGTAGCATGAATTTGACGCTTTTCATTGTCATAACTTAATTTTGTTATAATTGAGTTAAAATTTCCCTCCATACTACATTTCCATATAGCTGAACTGTAAAAAATGTGTATATTCAATTGTTTAATATTCAAATTCTCCAAATTAAATTCGTCAGCTCTAAGAATGATGGATAATTCTTGAATAATAAAATCCATTGTATCAGAATTGGTCAAGGTAATGTTGATTTCCGAAATGATTGCACTTTTAAATAAATCACTAAGGATAGGGATTTTAAAAACATTATTAAGTTGAAGAATTTCAAGAATTTTATTAAAAGTAAGATACACAGGAAAGTTTTTTATTATCAAGCTTCCAAAACTTTCTTTCGTTGGTGACACGTATTCAATTAAACAATTAGATATATCATTTCCTTTTGCAACCATACTTTTAATTTTTCCAGACCATTGCTCGTCACAGTATTCTAAATCTATATTCGCATTTTCGACTTCGATGACATCCTTTTTAATAATGAAGCTAGGAATTGTAATACCAAGTTCGAAATCTCCTATTTCATAAAAGGTATTACTATTCGATTTACTTTTAACTTGTAAATAAAGATGTCGAAACGTCACTGATTTTAATTCTTTAAATATAGGATTCGAGAGCATCGGTGCAGTATCCTTAAGCTTTTTGAATATTTCATTTAATCCGATAGCATTTAACACGTCCTCCAAGTTTGGAGGAGCATTTTTATCATCTAAGTTTTGTGATTTGATTGAAATCACATACTTAGTCGATGTATATTTTTGCTCTGTTTCTTTAATAGGTATGTAAGAAAGGTTGGCCAAAAGGTTTTTACCAGCAATTAAAAGATTAAAATTTATATCCAGGCCAATCATTATATTTTCCTTATCTAGTGGATTTAATATAGAAATAACAGTGTTCTTATTTGTTAGCAACAGTTCTGAAAATTGATGTGGTAACATAGATTTTTCTATTTTAAGGAAGTCGTTCGCAAATATTTGAATATCTTTCATCTTAAAATTTATTGTTGGAGGTTCGCATATTGGATGAAACGACAAACAAAATTTCATCTTATTATCTTTTAAAAGGTCATTCAAGGTTTTCTCATATAGAGGAACCTTTAAATTATCAAATATATTCTCTATATGGTGCGTTATTTTATCGTCACATACATTCTCTATACCAGGTGCATCTGTTGTAATTCGAGTGTGCGTTATTTTATTGTCACATATATTATTTTTAAGGACAACTTTTGTAATTTGAGCGAGCGTTTTATTGTCAAATTTCAGCAAAATAAATTGTTCATTATCATTCTGTGTAAATATTCTTCCTGATTCAATATTTTCGATCTCTGCAAAAGCATCAATAGTTATTCTTGGCCCATTATTAACAACACCTGGATCATTGATGATAACTTTGATGTCAGCTATTTGTGAGATTAAAATGTTTTCAAGTTGAAAATTTAATTTGCCTTCCGTTTCCAAAAAGAATTTAGATTGAATTATTCTAGTCCCGGTAGGACCAGGTAAAAAATCCACTTCCGAAGTTTCTTGGTTTACTTTACAATTTAATAACGAGGCTTTTGATGTAAATGGGAGTGGAATTTTCAAGAATTCTGGTATGATGAAAGATTGAGGCATCATTAACAAACATAAATATCCTAGGGTAAGAGTTTCACTTTTCAAATTGTTTTGCTGAACATTTGCGTTTAAAAGATAATCAAAAATAGATCTCGATTGAGAAACCTCCGGTATTTTTGAAGCCCATGTAAAGTAACTATTTGATTTATCCTTATTTTCTGTATCAATTTTTACAGTTATCTCCATTCCTTCAATTCTTGGATTTTGGACGTTGATTTGCACATTTGTCACTTTATCAAAAGTTTTAGGAAGAATTTTAGAAATATCTGGAGTAAGTCTGGGCAGCTCTGTTTCTTTTAGTTTAATTGTAGCATTCTTTATTTCAAGTAGTTTATCTTTGGTAATTTCCCATTCAACCTCAGATTCTATGTCTATTTCAGAATACAATATTTTATCAAAAATAGATGGAAGGGAGCTAAACGCTCTTTCAACATTAGAAGGTCCCATTATATAATTGGCCGCATTTTTAACTTTCATTATTAAATTTTCTTTATACTCTCCAAGCTCCTTCAAGAAAGATTCTAAAGTTTGACCCTTCTTTTGATTATCTGATTGATTTTCGTATGAAAATACAAGCGCACCTTCATTGGTAGGCAATTTTTTAAATTGCGAAGAGGGTGTTGAATTATCAATAGCATAATAAAGAACCTTTCCAGTATCTAGTTCTAAATCCATTAAATAAAAATTATCATATCTATTTTTTACTATCCATTCAAATTTAATAATAAAATTATTTTTTCCGTTTGACATTCTATATACATATTGATCAATAGGTGGTATATTAGATAACAAAAATGTAGTGGGTTCTTCAACTGGTATCAGATCGCCTTTAGTGTTAACACCGAGCCATAGACATGGTTTTTTACTTGAGATTTTTGCACGAAATTCGGTATTTTTACCGGTTGAATGACTTGGAACTTTACAATTAAGAATATCATAAACTTTCTTTATTTCTTTACTCTCTTCAGGATCCCAACGAAATAGCATAACATTCTTAGGATAATCAGATGCATAGCTAGAAAGTTTAACGCTGACTTCATAAGCTTTTCCACAATTAGCATAAATCTCGATACGTTGGTTTAGTCTATCAATAAAGTCAATTGATTGTTTTGCCTCATTTTCTAATACATTATTTATAGTAGCAGCTAATAAATTCATGTTGATTTTTGATTCATTAGTAAATAAAATATTTGCAATTCTCTCTTTATTTGAATCTTCTAATATAGATTTTACTATCCCAGCGACAATCAAGGGATCTGGATGGCCATGTTTTGATTCAGAGGAGATAACATAAGTTTTTGCGATAAATGACTTGTAAAAAGTTGAAATAGAAGTGACAATATATTGAAATGCTAATGGTGAAAGATTTAAACTATTCCACATTGAATTTAACAATGGCTTTAAATTTTTGGCATATTGTGGTCTTATTTTAGCACTCTGGTTTGTACAAATGATTATATCAAAATTTTTATAAATTCGCTCCTTTATACTATTAAAATAATGGTCAAGTTCTTCCTCGCTAATATTATCTTTATTTTTGATAAAATCATATTTTTTCCAGTTAATTGGATCAATATTTTGATTCTCTTCGTAAAATTTATATAATTCTCTTCCAATTTTGCCCCAATTTATTTCATTCCATTTCCAATCAACTTTATCCTCTGTCAAATCGCTAATTACTAATGCATCTGCCATATATTTTAAAAAAATTTTAATGGATGTTGGATCAAAAGCAGATGTTAGATATTCTCTTGATAGAGCTGCTTCTTCGAACATTCCAAAATTTGTAAGGTTAAACATATGTTCAAAATCTGCAACAATATCTGATTTGTCTTCATTATCATAAAAACTAAATTGCTCACCATAGTACAGAATCATCATTAAAGTAAATTGTTGATTCACGTACTTAGGAACATAAGTTTTGGCAAATATAGAATTAATTCTTGAGCCATGATTTGGTACTTTAAACAAATCTATGGTAAGGAGTTCGTTAGATTGTAATAAATTTTGTTGTTTATCTGGTTGAGAAATCTTTTGATGTTTTCTTAAATTTGTCCTTAGCACTTCTAATATCCATGAAGCATCATTATCGCTAGTGAGAAACATTGTGTTAACATTCCCATCTTCCAAAGTATGCTGTAAATATGTAATGACGCTAATATGTTGTTCAATGCTAGGTTTTATAAATAGTTCCAAAGATTTTTCATTATCAACTTTTTTGAATTCAGAAAATTCTCCTGTCATTGGTACGAAGTTCGCCACATAATTAACTACAGAACTATTTGTCACATAATTAGCCATAGAACTATTTGTAACATAATTAGTTACAGATGCCATATAATTGGACATAAAATTAGACGCGGTATTTGCCACGTAATTATGAACAGGAATATTTGGCATATAACTGACAATATTAAAGCCTTCTTTCTTTTCATCATTTTTTTTACGCCTGAAAATTAAAGAACTTCCTTTTTCATGGAAAAAACATTTTATAAAAGTTTTTTTTTTTATAATTTGGATATCGTTTATTTCATTAATTTCCTCAAATTCATATTGTTTTATAATTTTAACAATCGGTAAATCTCTAAATTCCTCGGTAAGGATGATATATTTAAGATCTTGAAATTCTTTGTCGCTGGTACTATTGAGCGGAAAGCATTCATTAAAAAGTTTAGTAACACCATCAATGCGATTTTTATTTACGTTAGTTATAATAATCCCTTCGAATGCTGTTATACGACGTTTAAAAATCGCTATTCTCAAATATTGATAGTATGGAGTTTGTGCGGATCCACCATCAATAAGCCAAAATGTATTATCTGTACGAGAGGTAAAAATGATTTTTTAAAAATATATGTATAATAATAAGTTCCGGCTTTTTAATAGCTTACCATTGAATTCTAAAATTAAACAGTCGCCATTACCCGAACAAATAAAATGTAAAATAGGTTCTAACTCGGACATTATTACACGTAAACAATGTTATTAACAATGTTATAAGGTTTATTTATTAGTATGATATTTTTTTGTGAAGCCAAAATACCGTGTATTTTATTTTAAAATTTGCAAGTATGATCATTTCTAATCTTGGTTAGTTTTATTTGGTTCAGCATGTTTTATTAAAATTGTATGCAAAGCATATGAATCCTGAAAACCGAGTCTCTTTGACTTCTTTCAAAAAAAGCGATTCATTAGGCTTATTTTTGTTTATGCCACCATCAAACAGTTTACCTTTTTAATCATACGTGTACACATTAATAATAAGATTAATGTCACACTATTGCTGAATTTATACTATGGTAATTTCCATATTTAGTAACGTAGTAATTTGAGATAATCTAGTACGTATCAATTGATTAGATATTTGGCGAAACAAACAATATTTAGATTATCTAGTGAAACCGGGTCAAACGGCAACAACAATCCAAATTCTCGCGTAACCTACGGTTGGCTTAGTCAGAAAGAGGCGTTTAGATTTGGTCGATGGTTTGGGTCCGTAGGTAAGTATTTCTTCTTTACTTGTCTTGTGGTTTTCCTCTCTTGAGCTTTCTATTAACTTTATTCTCAATTACCTCGCTACTTCGGGTAATTAAACAACACATATAACTTCAACTATCCTCAGTCCTTCGGACGATCTGATCCTGGTACTTTAGGATACAATAGCCGGACAGGAATGTAACAATACTACGGGTAGGACAGATAATTGCAAGAATCGGGTTTTTATGGTCTGGAGATTTAGAGATACCAGGAACGGAGTGCAACAAAGTGCATGGTTATCAGAGGAGTGAAATGATGTGAACAAATACTCTATTCTGATTGGCAGACCTTTCACAGACATGGTATTTGTCCGGTTTTGTGGACTGTTTGCAGTTTAATTGCAAGGGCATAAGCCTCACTTTTTTCATTATTTATTCCTGATTTTACCTATTTTGACCGTGAACATATATTGACGCATGTTTTCTAATATATATATATATATATAACAAGGCTCAAGGATATATTAAGGGAGTTTGATTGCTATTTATAATATTTTATACTTAGAATTGAAAGATGTTTTTTTTATGTTATTTATGCATGTAATGTATTTGTTGGTATAAAAAATTTTATTTTTATAGAATTAGGTGGGTTTTAAATTATTTATTTGTTGGATTTTAGATTATTTTAATTGAAAAATAGGGTTGATATTAAATAATTTTTATGGTTATATTATGAAAACGTTTTGTGATGAGCTATTGTTATATCGAATTAGATTTTCTTTCTAACGTTATTTTTGGTAATCGGTTTGGAATAGTACGTTACGGTGTGAGTAAAAGGTTTCTTTTTATAATATTTCTTGTGATTTTCGGAAGTTTAGATTGTAAAGTATTTTGGGTATTAAAGACGAATTAATTGTATTTATGAATGTATGATACTCGGATAATTAAAGACGGGTTAATGGTATTTAGTATATAAAATATTGCTGCAGTATTGATATAGTGTAGGTATTTTAGTTTTGCTGTAGTGTAATTGCAAAAATTGATTAATAATTAATTTTTGGATTGTTATGAGTTATTTTTTCTAATTTGTTTGGAGCATTATTGATAAAAATTGATAAATTGTTGATAAGTAACTTACATCTAATTATAAGTAATTTTAGAATAATTGATAATAATTATTTTTAATTTTGATAATTATACTGTATTATATCTATTGTTGGGTAAATTTTATTTATTTTCATTATGTAATTTAATTGCAAAATTGGAGATATTAGTTTATGTGTATAAAGTTAATACTGTATAAATTAAATTTAGATTTTTTCATGTTGTTGATAGGTTTGTAATTTCAATAATTAGTAATTTGTGATTTAATTGTTAGTCGTTCATGATTTAATTGTTAGTAGTTCGTGATTTATTAGTGGGTGGGTTTATAATTTGGACAGTAAATGAGTTCATGTTTAGGGATGTGAAAAATAATTGAAGATATGATCTCAATTGTAGGTAGCTTGTAAGTTTATTATATTGTAATTTATTATAGATAATTTATGATTTAGTTATGGCGGGTTCATAATTTTAATGGTGAAGGTTTGTGAAGATAATAGTAGGCTACTGGTAATCTAATAGCCAGTTTTATTATTTCAATATTAGGGGTTTTTGTTTTAATAGTAGATGAGGACCAAATTTTAGTGATGGGTAGTTGATATTATTTAGTAATGCATAGACGGTGAGTGTTTTGTAATTTTACAGTAAGCTTATGATTTTAATAATTTAGGGTTTAATTTAATAGTTGAATGTATAAGTTTGCTATTTAATAGTAAGTAAAAGAATTTAATGATGGTTGTTGGATTGTAGAAATGTTTTAGTTAAATTGGTTTGTGCAATTTTGATATTAAATGTATTAATAAAATAATTATTCATGCAAAGGGATAGGTCTTTCGTTAGTTTATTATGACAATGAGACATAATATGTTTAATTATTATTAAATGGATTGATCGTATATTTATTATATTAATTAAATTAAGATTTGAATTAATTTATTTTGTCATATAGTATACATTTATTTAAACACGATATTTAAGGTTCTTCATATTTTATTACATCATCGTTGATCCTTAAAATCAAAGAATTAGAAAGAAACATTATTAGCATGTCTTGACAAGAAAAATTTGGATGATGGGATAAGTTGTTTATGAACATAAGAAATTGACTTAAATGATCTGGAATGAGGAAATGTTTAGCAAAATTTAAATAAAATAATTGAATATTTGACATTATTTTTAATTGATTAAAATAATTAAAAAGGTTTCTTATATGTTTAAAAATGTTTTTAGGCATAAATCTAATACATGATCTTATATTTGAAGTATGGAAAAATTATGGCAATTGTGGAGAATAATTGATTCATCTTCTTCAATATTAGATTTTGTGTAATCTAAGCATACAGAATGGAGATACATAGTGAATTGGTAAATAGTTTGATATTTATGAATGTTTTGGACTTGAAGTAAGGTTGAATAGATTATTTTAATTAGAGGAAGGATTTGGGAATGGTGAATCCAAATGATATCTATGCAATCAATAGATTGCAAATCATAATCTTTAAAATTTGTAATAATGGATAGATAATTATTTTTTTTTTCATAACTGAAAAAATGCAGGTATTTATATAATTATTGTTAATGATTATTAATAATATTTATTTATTTGGTAAACTAAAAAATAGGTTTTAATGATTGATGAATATTTATATGAATTTATACAAGATCAGAAACATTTATTGTAATATAAAAGAGTAGTTTTTTTGAAAAATTTAAATACAGTGAAATAAAGTTCAAGGATGGACTTCAATTTTATTACAATCAGTTTTCTGGATATTATTGATCATGTTTATTTCAGTTACAATACTTATTATAGTAATAATATTTACTAATAAGTGGTTATGTAAATCTTATTTTTTAAGTTACATTTTTATTTATTTGTTATGCATAACTTGTTCTAAAACAAGTATATTATTTATATTATTAATGATAAAGATGTATTATAAGAGTTTAATTTGTGTTATTTACATGATTTTATTGATTAAAAAAATAATTAAATGATGTAATATTATTGTATAAATTGACCAAAGCCTCAATTTTGTAATAAATTTAATCATCAATACTTAATAATAATTGGTGAGTCTGTTTTAATAGCATTTAATTCAAAAGATATAATATTTAGTAAATTCCAAGTTGGAGTTCTACTAAATGCTACATAAGCTTGACCATATACAAATATCTGATCATCAATGGATACTAAAATATAAGAGATTATTAGTCTTTGTATTTTGTATACTGTTAGTGCAAAAACATTTTGTAAAGAAAATTGATATTGACTTGCAGGTGTATCATTTAGAAAAAAATATTTTGTAGTTTTTTTTATTATTACAATAATAATTGTTTGTGTTGTTGAAAATACAACTTTTATTATATTTTTATTTACAATATTAGTAATAATGCTGATAGAGCCATTACAAAGTCCATGATTGAATAAAAGATTGCTTAGATACATGACACATATCTTGTTGTAAAATTAATATTGAAGGTAAATTTGTTTGATGATAAAAGGTGTGATTGTTTTCAGGAAGATCATATTCTTGGTTATTAATATGATTAATAGCTATAGATATAGTAAGTTCAAGCTCTTTAGATCCTAAAACTAAAGATAAACAGGTTAGCTTGTTTATTTTGTCAGCTATAATATAAAATCTAACAATATGTGTGGTGTTAGTTGAAAGACATAATAAGAGATCTTTTTTACTTTTTCTTCAATTGTTTGTAACATGATAGATAATAAATTTCAAGCACAAATGTCTTTTAATATTTTATAGAAGTTAGAGTCATAGTTTTGTCTACATGAAGTTGTTAGGAATAGTAAATAAAATTCTATCTAAACTAAAGAGTAAAATACTTGAGATCCATTAATAAAGGTAATTGAGCAAAATTACTAATTAATAAAACTCTAATTCTACTAAACAGTGATGCATTATTATGCAAATGTATAAAAAGGTTATTTATAAATATTAGTAGACTTGCAGAAACTATAGAAATTTTATTAATAATAATGACTTTAATTTGTGAAAATTGTTGGTAGTGTTCTTGATTATATAGTACTAAACTTTCAAAATTGGTAATTAATGAACAAATTTTTAGTTAAAAATAAATGGTTTTGTCATCAATGTTTTGAGTAGTAATTCCTGTTAGAGCCATTATTAGAAATTTTTTGTATTGTAATCGAAGATAATTAACAATTAGTTTAATCATATATGATTTTTTTGTACCTGCTGAACTTATCAAAAAAAATAAAGATAACTATATTCATTTGCACTTCTCCAAAAGAATGCTAATATATTAAAAATCTTATATTAGTTTGGCAGTATTTCTAATAAAGACAATTAAGGAACTAAAGAAGTATATTGTATTAGAGATTCTAGTTGGTTACAAATAATA